AGGAATGGACCAGGTGCAGACAGATGCACCCACAGTTGGGGGATGGAGGAAATGGGGCCACCTCCTGTCTCTTGGAGCATTTGAAGGAGAAGATGCTGTAAAATGTCAAAAATCTGGAGATTTCAGCAGGGGACAGACTCAAGCTGGTGACAGCCATGAGAAATGAGCATGGAAACTGGAGACATTTCACTAACTGATGTCACTTTGTCTTTAGGGTCCTCCAGGCCCACGAGGACACCCTGGCCCTCCGGTATGTATATGTGGGAAGAGTTCAAAGACATTATTGAAAGAAGCTGAAATTACTGCTGTGATATTCTCCAGGGGAACTGTTCACTCACTGGAAATTACAGCCTAGCCCCATTCCTCGCATGCAAAAATGTGTGTGTGAATGGACTAGTGTTCCTCATGCTTTAGTCCAAACCATCTCCAAGGATTTTATAGAGACAGCATTGTTGCCTTTCTCACTCATCTGCATGGAGGGACTCCAGGGGAAAGAGGATTTCCAGAGGACATGACTGAGTATCTTTGCAGGAGTGACTGCCCATCTTTCTGGCTGATCCCCCTTTTTATTTTACTTTTTTTGCTTTGATTTCCAGGGACCACCAGGAATTCCAGCCTCATTTGTAAGTTGCTGTTTTCTGTACCTTTGTTAATGGCAATAATAAGTCCTGCAGAGCCAAGGTGCTGCTGGGACATCCAGAAAGAGCTGCTGGGACCCTGGAGACACACACTCAGGTCCAGCAAGTGATGCTGTGTTAGCAGAGCGATGCTTGAATCGCAGCCCTAGACTGAGCAGCTTTGGCTCATGCCAGGGCATGTTCAGCTTCTAACAACTTCAGTTACCATTTTTTCACCCCACCCCAGCAACAAGATGACTTTGGGGCAGCTTTCCGGACACTGATCGACTCCAACACTGCTCTCAAGGCAGAGGTAAGAGGGTACTTTGGAACCTTCTGGAGCTGGAGGCTGGGAACAGGTCCAGCATTGCTTGTTCTTTTTGTGTGCTGGGAGTTTATAAACAAAGCTCTGGGTTGGTGCTGTTGTCCTGGAATAACTGGGGTTTGTGGATGCAAAGATCCGCTTAGAGGAAGGTGTTCTGTTGTGTTACTTCTTTGTGAAGCTCCAGACCTTGTGGCACTGACATCAAGACTCTGCCAGCTCCTCAGAGATGTCCCTCTCAGGGCAGTGCAGGAGCAGCATCTCCAGGATCCAGCCAGCACAGCCTGTCTTGGGCCCACAGAGTTTTCCTCCAGATAAACCCTTGTGGTTACAGCACCTGGTGTTCCCCAAGGCACCTGACTTTGCCTTCTTTGCTCTCCAGGGTTACCAACATCCAGACCTTCTCATGCTGGACCATGGAGGGGAGATCTTTAAGACTCTACACTACCTCAGCAACCTCATTCAGAGCATCAAAAGACCCCTGGGAACCAAGGAGAACCCTGCACGCATCTGTCGAGACCTCATGAACTGTGAACAGAAGATGAACGATGGTAGGAAGCCCTGAGTGTGCACGGGCTGCATCATCCATAGGGCCAGTTCACATGGTCCAAACTGGTCTCCTTCTTTGGGTCTAGTAATGCACCTTTCCTCATCCACAGAGAAGGTTAAATGTCCTTGTTAATCCCTGAATCCTCCATTTCTCCAGGTACCTACTGGATCGACCCAAATCTTGGCTGTTCCTCAGACACCATCCAGGTCATCTGTAACTTCACCAATGGTGGGCAGACGTGTCTCAGCCCCATCACTGTCTCCAAGGTACACACAGCTCGACCCCAGCACAGCATTTCCCATCCTGCTGTTAGGAAATCTTTACCCAGGTCTGTGTTACCCCAGAACACTGGCTCGTGGCCACTATGACACAGCACTTTGCCTTCTCCTCGAGGCAGAGCTGGTGTAGCTGTAACATTCAAAACGTCCCTCATGCAATTAAAAAATAGGCCCGAGTCTGTTCCTGACTCTTGTCAAGACAAAGTGTGTTTCCATCAATGTTTCATTAACCCATAACCTCACTAGAGCACCAGTAACTTGGCAAACACGCTGCTCCCAGGTGCTTTGTTGAATTCACTTCTGTTCAGGTAACTCTTGCATTTTCTTTTCTGCCACTTGAAAAAGTGAGGTCAGCTTGAAGAGACCAGTTTCCAGGGAAGTTAATGCTGCAGGATTTTTTCCTGGAGGAAGCAGCCATACCAAAAAAATACCAATACCTGGGTTCACCTGCAGATGAACTAGAACCTGCCACCTTGCAGAGGCGGGTGTGGAATTCAAAGTTTACTTTCTTTTCCTCCTACTTAAGGACCTGCCAGTTTGTTCTGAAAAATAAAAGACCTGCTGTGTCCCCATGAAAACTTTCTAGGCTGGCTTGGTTCTTAAGCCCATACTCACACCAGATCCAGCCCTGGACATCCATGCATGGTCACCTCCAGACTTTAGCAGAGCACAGGGACCACCTTTGCTGTCTTGCTGCCAAGCTCCCCTGACATCTCTGTCACCTCCACAGCTGGATTTTGACGTCGGTCGAGTCCAGATGAACTTCCTGCGCCTCCTGAGCTCTGAGGTGGTGCAGCACATCACCATCCACTGCCTGAACACCTCTGTCTGGAGGGAGGGCTCCTCTGAGAAACCCTCGGGAAAGGCCGTGAGGTTCAGGGCCTGGAATGGGCAGGTGTTTGAGGCAGAAGGGCAGCTCCGGCCTGAAGTGGCAGCTGATGATTGCAAGGTACGTGTGACGCTGCAAAGGAGGGGAGGGGTGGGTGGGAAGTGCCAGGCTGGAACCCACCCAGGGCACACAACAAGGGTCCAGTTAGACCTGTGCTGCTTATTCTGCCCCCCAAAAAAATGGGAAGAAGAGTCTGGTTTACCTGCTCACCACTTTAATTTTCCAGTCCAGGGTGTTGTAGGGACTCCTCTTAAGCAGCCAAAAATTAAATTTCAAAGCTCCATGTGTCAGGTGTAGCAGCAGCTCAGTGACAGAAGAGGGAATTGCCACCCCAGGTGGTGGCCTGCTCTCCTGCCTGATGCCAGGCTGGGAGAGGAGCCACCTGCCCACAGGTCAGGCTGCCTGCATGAGGGGTCTGGGATGGGTGACACCATTCCAAGCTTGGCTTCCATCGACTCAACCTGGATAAAGGGCTCCCCAAGATGCTCTCGAAGCCTCACCCTGCCCAGCCCAACAAGCAGCCCCTTCTCTCTAGGGGCTCAGTGAAATGCTCTCCCCTCCAGCAGGATTCACCCCCCAAGTTAAACAGCTTTCCTGTCCTTCCCTCCTCCCCGTGCAGATCAAGGATGGACGCTGGCATCGGACCCTCTTTTCCTTTCGGACACAGGACCCTCAGCTGCTGCCAATTGTCAACATCCACAACCTTCCCCCATCCCAGCCAGGGAAGCAGTATCACCTCGAGGTCGGCCCCGTCTGCTTCCTTTGAACAAAAGCCACCAGAACCAGGCTCCAAGGCTTTGACCCCATCTTTGGCCTATGTCTTTACACAGGCTCTCCCACCTCTCAGCAGCAAGGACAGCTGAGCTGCATCTTTTGGGTCAACTCTTGCTCAAGGTCTCCAAGAAACCTGCGGCCCACTGAGCTCAGCAGGTGGTTGGAAGGAGGAATAACCAGGTCGTGGGGGAAGTGGGTGTCAGCTGGGACACCAACAGTGAAAAAGGGATCAGGGGACTAGATGTTTCAAGCAGTTCCATACACAAAAAGCTTTTTCCATGACCAAAGATAATGTTGAGAGAAACCTCAAGCAACTTGCAGTGGGTGTTGGTCTTTTTCTTGGTTCCACCACCACCCCCCTCCCTCCCCCAGTTT